GGTAAATTAATTATAAGAGTTTTTAAAATTTGTTTTAATGATGTAAAGCTATATAATTCCAATAGGCGGCGTGGTGTAATGGATAACACATTCGTCCAGTCTACTGACGTTACATGCTGCTTTGAACCCAAAAACACTATGTCAACCCAAATCCCGCTTAATCCCTTGATATCCATCTCATTCCTATGTTATCACTCGATATCCCCTTAAACTACACAAATCTCCGAAATAATATTATCCATTGTTTTCCACCCGGAGCCAACAAGGATCGTGGGCGATTCAATGTAATTTCGGCCGATTAAGAGAGATATAGTCGGATTAACGAAAATAGCTATGATTTGTAAGTAAATGTGAGTTGGAAATTAATTGGGATTGGAAATAATTAAAATTTGGACTTGATATACCTATTTAATATTTTAATTAAAGTAAACAAAATGATCCTAAAAAAGCAATTTGTATTTTTATACAATTATTTGGTTTGGCTAGAACTGTAATGATCACTCAAAAATATACTCTTTTCTTTGGAAACAGTATTGGTCACTATATATTTTTAAATAAAAATTAATTCTAAAAAATTTTTTCAGACGAAAGTAATATTTTAGTTGAATTATTTAGTGGATATTTTGAAGAAAAGGCTAAAATTGTAGATAAATGGAGAATAAAATTAGCAATAGATTATTTTTTATATAAAGAATGGTTTTACAAAATTAATAGAAAATGTAAAAAAATATTTTTTAATTAAAAATTATCTTAATTACAGATGAAGAAAAATTAAAGGAAATTAAATTAATCATTGATAAAATATTTGAATTTTATTGGGAAGGAGATTATTTTTTGAGAGAATTTATTTTAAAATTAAATGATCCACCTAAAGATATATTTTTGCTTCAATTTCAGGTATAATATTAATAAATATAAAGTAGAATTATTACATTAAAATGATTTAAGGAAATATTTTTGGACACAAAATTATATGCACAAAAAAGTATTAATTCTACAACAATTTTACAAGCTTTAAAATTTTGTATTGAAGAAATGTTTGAAGAATTAAAATTAATAAATAAAAATATCTGGCTAGAATGCGTTGAAATAAAATTAAAAAATCAAAAATTATTTGGAAAAATGATTGACGACCAAAAGCAAATTTATAGAGAAAAAGTTGTAGAATATTTTTTAAATAAGAATGGAGAAGTAGCTAAAGAGGACTTTGAGCATTTGACAAATAAAATTAAAGAAATTGATGGTAATTAATAGAGCCTGACTATTTAGACCCGAAACCGCAGACTTTTTTCAGATATGAAACCCGACTAGAAATTTTCTCAATCTGACCTACTAAGGATTATCGCTTATCTAAATTTATGGATATTTAAATTTAAGGCAAAATTGTAATAAAAATATTTTCTTCAATATTTTTCGGACATGTTTATTTCAAAGATTATTATGGATATACTATTATTTTCCAGAAAATTAAAAAATTAAAATTATTAATTTTATTAAGCAGGTAATGAATTCAAAAATTTTCTTGGAATCTCTAAAAGTAAATTTTATGAATTAGTTAAACAAGGAAAAGTGTCTTTGACTGAAGAAACAATAACAAAAGAGAGCGTAAGCTTTAATAATTAAAAATAAAATTTTGAAATTTTCACTAGGGCGGGAGCCAAAATTCCTTCTTTTAGTAAAAATTTTAGCTCTTTTCTAGTTATAGAGCAAATCGGATTTTTGAATTTTGACTCTTGAGAAGAGTGAGTTTAGAATATATGTAGAGTTCGTAAGGTTGGTGAGTGAACGGATACTTAAGTATTAAAGATAAGTCTTAGTGATTAGTAAACTAATAATGTGTCCCATAATATTATACATAAATTAATTATTAACAGAACAAAATTGTTGAGGAATTAAAAACGCCGAAAATAAATTTAAAGCCTGAAGGAAAAATTTATGAAAATAAAAAACAAACTAAAAGTACTAATCTAATATTAAATACTGAATGCCCAATAATTGAAGAGAAAAATTTAAAACAAAAAAATATTTCAAATGAAGTTGAGATATATAAGTTGCAAAAATCTAGCTCAGGTTTATATCAGAGTTGTACCCCGACCCGAACACGGAATATATTTTGATACCCGATCCTAACCCGTCCCAGAAACAATCTAAAACTTTGTAACGCGACATATCCGCCCACGGACGTGTTCGGGGGAACAACCCTTATTATTTATTTAAATACAGTTAAAAATAATTTTTATTTAAATAAAAGATAAAAATATTTACGTAAATAAAACATATCCATTGAGTAAATTGTCAAGAAGTAAATCGATGGAAAATTTATCTAAAAAATCGAAGCAAAGATGGGATAAAACTAAGAAAGGAAAAAAGACAAATTTATTTTTAAATTTTGAAGATAAATTGGAAGAGGAAGAAATTGAGGAAAATGAAATAAAAAATGGAATTGATGAAACTTCCGTGAATGAAACAATAAATAAATTAACTGAGATGATTGAATTAAAAAGTAATTTAAAATTTATATTCTGATTCAGATCTTAACTAAAGTGATAATTAAATCAAAAATCCGAATCTGAAAAAGGTCGCACATTATATATCAATATATCAGGGGATAAATATCAGGGATATCTCTAGCCTTAATTGGTGACATCTTGAATCGAAAAGCTTTAGGTTCCATCAAATAACCCAAATATATTAACCGTATAAATATATTTTTCGTAACAATATATTAGATATATTGTTTGTTTAGAAATACAAGAGATTAATCGAGATATATTAAAAATCGCCCCTTGATAATTGAGATTTTTGTTCGAGATCTGGTCAGAACTTCTCAGATATAATCAGAGCTTAGACATTAGAAAGTAAGTTATGACAACTTAAACACTTTATTACACCTTACACCTTATGCTATCATTTTTCCAAGATTTTTCCTTTCAAATCCGTCCCAAACCCCGAATGATTTAACAAATGACGACCCAAACATTCTCAACCTTAATTATAAGTTTTAAATAAATTTTTAAATTAAGATTTAAAAGAATCGTTTAAAGAAGGATATTTAGAAAAACATTTAGAAGAAATATATTCACTAAATCTCCGTATAACAATCCAAAATAAAGAAAGAATAGAGGAAATACCCAATTTAGAGGAATTGATGAATATAATTGTTTTAACAAAATTAATTGAAGATAAGCTTTTGAGTGCAAGTTTGTTGGCAAAAACAAAAATAATAACTGATAAAAATAAGTAATTAGAATTATTAAATTATTTGGAGTAATATAGGTATACGTTGGGTAGTGGTGCTCCCGCTCCGATTTTTTCAAATCTTGGCAAAATTTTCAGAGCCGCTCCAAGAATAGGCTTAAAATTGGCTAAAAATAGGCTAATTTAATAATTACTTCTGAAATCCATTTTTTATTTATATTAAAGAAAAGAGAACGCTAAAAATATAATGAAGTCCATAGAAATATTTTGGAAGAAATTTAAAAAACAAAATTTCAAACAAAATGGAGATATAAACAAAGAAAATATAAATAAATTAATGATTCAATTGTTTAAAATAAATCAAAATTTGGAAAGTATTTCTTTTAAATTACCGTTTGATGACAATTTTGTTCAAAAACTCGAAGGAAAAATGCTAGTTACTTTATTTTAATTATAATTATTTTTTAAAATATTATACATATGTAGTATAATACATAGAGCTGAACTATGCGATAATTCATTATTCCGATAATTCAAAAATTAAATAGATAAATATATTTTGAACCTTTATCCTCTTTCTTTTAAAATTAATTAATTTTTGTAATAATTTTTAAAATAAATGGTTCAAACAGTCACAATGGCTTATTATTGTTTCAACCTTTCGCTGGAGGGGGTAATTAATAGGGGTAATTAGGTGGTAATTAATATATGATAGAGGGTAATTATTTAAGCATATAGGTACATTATAATATAAAAATAACAACTTTATTTAGTGAGAAAACCGTAAATAGACTAAACATAGTTAAAGAAGAATCTACATCGAAAAATCATGTGATCGACAAAATTTCAAAAATATTAACGCAAATTAATTTTCAAATGTTTTGTTCCATTTTTTCAAAAAAATTAAAAATATCAAGGGATAATCAAATAAATATTTCTCAAGATAAATTTGAAAATTTTAATAAATCTGTAAATTACAATGAAGAGGACCCAACACTTAATTTTGAATTTTTTGAAGGAATTTTTAAATTGTTTGGGGGGAAAATGTTTGAAGAAATTGATAAAAATGATCAAAAATATAAAAATAATTTGATTAAGTTTAGTCAAATTTTTATGTCAAATATTCTTTCAATTCGTGCAATGTTTGAACAACAAACAATTGGTTGGCAATGTTATTTACTTATAATTAGAGTTGTCAGTTTTTGGAATACTCGGTCAAGGCCTAGCAAGAATTATAGCGATCACAAAAGCATAGCTATCTCTTATATCACTCTATAGCAAATCACTCTAATTAAAAAAAATTTATAGTTTCATCTTAGCTTTATTTTACTTGTAATTTTTAGATGATAATTTACAAAAAGAGATTTATTCTCTGATTGAGAATGGCAATTTAACTACAAGAATTATTCCATTAGAAAAATCTAAATGGCTCTCACCTAAGTTTTATAAATATAGTCAAGCGTTTAATATTGAAAATAAAAATTTTAATTTGACATATTTTGATAAATTATATAAAATAAGTGAAGGAATATTAAAATCAAGAGAAAATTGTTTAATTTGGTTAAAAGAAAAATTTGAAAAATGGTTAAAAATAATCTGTGAAAATAATTCTAAGAAATATGGAGGTAAGTAAATTTATACATACATAATTATGGTTGAAAAAACATGCAAATGCACGTTTTGTATGGGGATATGCCATGTGAGAGTGTTCAAATATGGTGTTTTTACGTTGGGTCTTAAAGCATATATTTGGACATAGTTTTTTGATTTTCTGTCATATATTCTGAACCTTACTATAATTCGTGAAGTAATAATTTATTTATACATGTTAAAGGATTTTCGATGATTGTTGGAGGATCCATACTCTTGGATACAGCTACAGATAATTCTGATATTGACATTATTTTCTTAATACCTTCATTAAATTATTGTGATGGTTTAGAGGAACAATCAAGAAACGATTTAATTTTTGGAAATAATGAAAATTCCTTTTATTTTTATTTGGCTAAAGAATTAGAGGAGGAATATTCAAGAGAATTGGTATGGAAATTTTACTTTATAGTTTTTTTCGGATCTGATCCGAATATCCATGGACTTCCCAGGATCAGCTAATACTGGTAAAGTACCCTTCTAATATTATTGTTTTAAAAATATGACAAATATTTCATGATTAAAGAATTACAATTGTGATCTATTCAATGTCAATTCAATAGCCAATGCCCGTGTACCACTCATAGAATTAGTAATAGAAGGGCACGAAATGGATATTATGTTTGCACAACTTCCAGTTACATCAATTCATGCAGAATTAAAGCTGTCGGAACATAATAATAAAGAAGTTATTAAAGAAAATATTTACATATTAAATGAACTAATTGAACGAATGGATAATTTAAATGATTCTGAACATTTTCAGAGTATTTTAATCCTTTCAGGCTTGTTTATAATATTATAAATTATATTTATAAAATACTTTTTCGTTAAATATATATGTATTGGTAAAGTGAAAGTATGCTGGAAAAATTCTTTAAAAGCCTATGCACATATTACAATTTTATTCTGTAGGAAGAATCATTGGGTTGGCCAGAACCTAGCTAATACCGCTACAAATACCAGCGGAGTGCTTTTTTTTAGATCCCCCATAAAGACTGCTCATCTGGGAACTGATCTACCGGTTAAACAATATAAATTATATAATCATGAACATGTGAATGGGAGGTGTCACAGAATGTAGCGATAAATAAGAAAATGTAATGACTGGCCGATCTTTTTTTTAACATAATCTCGCCCATAAGAGATCATTGCATAGGCAAGAAAAGAATACATATGCCTTAGATTTTTTAACAATTAAAATAATATCAGAACAAATAAAAAAATAAATTAAAGATAGTAAATCTTTTTAAAGGTTATAGAATGTCTTATCGAACAAAATTTTCTCTAATAAATCCTGAACGTGAGGAAATGTTTACTAATTTATTGCGCGTTGTTAAACAATGGGCTAAAGGTTCAAATAATTTTTAACTAACAATCAACAATTAATTAAGCTCGGCAAATTTATTCAAACATTTTTGGTTATCTTAGCGGCACAATTTTATTAATAATGTCAGCAAAGATTTGTCTTTTATATCCGAATGGAAATTTACTATTTTTGTTAAGACAATTCTTCCTAATTTATAGCATTTGGTTTGTTTATTTAAATAAATTTGGCAAAATAAAAATATAAAAAATGTTATCCTATTTACACGTCTAATTAGTCCTCAAATAATTACCCTCTCAAGCGTGAAGGTAATTACTCTTACAATGTATTTGAGTAAATATTGTAATTTTTGTTTGAAATGATGCTTTTTGCGAGAAAGTGCATGAGTGAAATTTTTAAAAATGAGTGAAAAATTCCCCCAAAATAAAGGCTATTTATTTAAAACTTGAAACCAAAAATTAAGATTAAGGGTTAATAACCGATTTCTAAAACTAGCATCCATATACCTTCGAAATAATAATGTGTTAAACTTTACAATTTTGCTAATTTAGGCCTCGGCCAATTCCAGTAATTTTGAATTCATTAGTAAATTCGAACAACATTTTTCAAAATTGGAATTTAAAAAATTTGTTGCCTTCTGAATATCACGATGGGGACAAAATGCCTGTAATTACTTCACTTTTTCCCAATCAAAATGCAGCTTATAATGTTAATAACCATACATTGAATATTATCAAATTAGAGATTAATAGAGGTAAAGTTTTCATAATTTCTGTTGCAAATGGTCAAAAAAGTTGAAAAATTTAATTCGAAATTAAGTCAAAAAATGAATGTAATTTCAACAAGCTAGTATCCTAAAATGCTTAATAGGCGTGGGCTTAAGATCTTTTAAAATGTAAAAGCGCACTCCGATTAGTCGGTAGAGGATTTGTAAATGATGAGCCGGGAGGGTTAAAATTCCGTCAACCCCTACCCCGTTCTTTAACCCCTACACTAACCCCAGAGGCTTCATGATCATTCATACACGGGGATAAACTTTTAACTCTATCTCTATGGAATCAATCACCATTTTAGTATATCAAGATAATTTAGTATTTTGTTTTGCCCTAATAAACGGACAAATAATAAAAACAAATTTTTAATTTGAATGAGAAGATTATATTTTTTACCAAATAATGTTTTTCAATTTTAGCTTACAAAATTCTGATTGAAGAAACAGATAAAAATTCTTCTAAAAATCTGAATGAAAATAATCTAATTTTCAAACAATTAGATTATAAAAATAAATTTTGCCATTTTTTGTTATTAGAATGTACATCATCTAAATACATTAATGATGAAAATCAAAAAGAATTTTCATCAGTTTCCCCTCCAAATTGTGGACAATTAAAAACTAGAGTTAGAACTTTACTCTATCGTTGGGTAGAAAAAACTGTTATTAAAACAAAAAATAAACAAACAGTTATTTTAAAAGATAGATTGAATAATTATCATGCTTTAAGTGGATATGCAAGAAAAAGACGAATGTATAATAAAAGGTAATTAATAAAATTATAGTTGAAACAAGAGACCGGACGGAGTGTGAACGAGAAACAGTTCAAATCTCGAAAAACAAAAAACTCGCACCAGAATCGTATTAGATATTTCGACAAATATTGATCCTGATAACCGAGATTTTTGCTGGAGATCTTGCCTTAATCCGGTCTCAGCTAAAAACCTAATTTTTAAAAATTCATGACTCTCTGAAATAAATCCCTCTCCAAGTACAAAATGCTATTTAACTGAAACCAAAAAAGAAACACGATTCTAAAATCAAATTTTATAAAAACTAAATCGAAAACAGTTTGGAATTAGAAATTTGTGTTACTCGTACGGGCCTATCCTATCCTACCTACCAAATTTTTTAATAGTTCGAATTTTAATATGCTCCCAAACAAAGATTAAAACCTCGCAACAGAGATGGGCTATAACAATAACCATTCTCAAAAATTTTTAAAGCTTTCAAATGCTTCGCGTTATTTGGCTAGTTGGTCTCAATTTTAGAGAGGATTCTTGTTCTTCAATTCCAGATTATATTAATGAATTTATTTCTACTCTCAATTTCCATATGGGAAAAATAAATAATAAATATGGATTTAATAATAATTCAATTTATGGAATTTATTCAAATAATTTTGAATTAGAAAATATGTAAATTAAATTTAATTATACAATTATTAGGGATCGGATTTTTAGGCTAAATCATATTATTTCCTGTAATAGTTGTTGACAAGAGTGTTGAAGTGAAGGGATTACGTACAGGATTTTTTCACTTGAAGGAAGGGATCACTCAGAAATTCCCGGTTTTAATCCGCCAATATTTTTAAAAAATCCGGATTTTATTAACTATTATTTTATTTATGTGCATGATTGGACACGTTATACAACCTACATATTTAGTTAAATATTTTAAGAACTTAAAACCTCAAAATCCGATCCCTAATAAATATAAAAAATTTAAGAATTGAATCTCGTCTTGGTATTAAATTTGAAGAGGAATTTAAACAAAATCATATTAATACAAATAAACAAATACAAAGTCAAGCAGGTAGTAAATAAATTAGAACTCGGCATTTCGATACGGAATACCGATTAATACCGATGAACTTCAAAATTTTGCCGTACCGATAAATACCGAGAATAAATTAAATTTAATCATACAATTATTAGGGATCGGAATTCAGGGCTCTAAAATAAAAAAAAATTATTTTTTGCTAGATCAAAACAATAATCAGCTAACTCAGAAATCAAATTATGAAAATATTAACAATGAAAAATTGAATCAAATTACCAAACAAAATAAAAATAAGAAATTAATTAAATGGCCTCAAATAAGTGAAATATTTAATGAAAATAAGAAAAATAAAAAAGATAATCTTATTAGAATACCATCAATTAATGAAATTTTTAAATTAAAAGATGATAAATAATTAAGAAAGACCGAAACTAAATTTTAAATTTTAAGAAAATTATTATTTAATTTATTTTCAAAAATATTTTTAAACATCTTCGTTATATGTATAAACGCGCGCCACTCCGCTAGCGCGCGGTAGGCACCACGTGTAAATTTAAAAATTTGATCTGAACATTGTTTCCGTTTTCGCAACAACTTCTACAGTGCTTGTATGTTATTCCGGGGGTTTGCTAATAAATCGTCAGTGTCATGAGTTTGAATGAAAGGTAGTTCAAAAGAGTAGGTCCAGGTTTCTTGAAAAAACCGAGGCCGAGGATCGTTGAGGGTGGAAAAGCCAAGATCAAGCCGATGGTAAAATTTCGAGCGAGGTTCGAGATAACCGAGGTTTATAAAAATCGTGGAGATCTCTAACTCTAGTGGTGCACTCTAATGACCCACAACCGTGGATTTAATCTAGTATTTATTTATTTAAAAGAAAATACATAGAACATTGTAAATTCGAAAATCATAAATCTTATTGATATGCCAATTCCTCAACTGAAGGACACATGCACACTAAATTTCTATCGCCGAAAGAATCATCAATCCTTCCACAGGACGGCCATACCTTCCTTGGAGTAAGACACCATGGCTTTGGCCAACCAGCTTGTTCTCGACTGTAAGGTCTGTCCCAATTGTCTGCCATTAAAACTGCTTGGGTGTGTGGAGCGTTCTGAATGTACAAAATTTAGTGGTTTAATATTTTGATCCCTACTTTGTATAGATCAATGTGTAGTTGTCCTTTAGCTATTTGCTCTATTTCTTGTTTGATTGCAATCAAAGAATCACAGTACCGATCCAATTCTGTTTTGTCCTCACTCTCTGTCGGTTCAATCATTAAACTGTCACGAATTGGCCTATAAAAAATTTTAAATTTTTTCTCAAATAATAAATTTAAAAATCTAGCCAATGCATAGTTGGTGCATGAAATCCAAAATCCATTAAACGTTTAGCTATATCATCCACTTCAATACCAAATTGCTTGAAAGGTTTGCAGTCTATTATGAATTCATGAGCGTTTAAGCCTTGTTCGTCTCTGTAAACAACTCGATAACCAGCATTTTCTAATCTTTTTGCCATATAATTAGCATTAAGAATAGCCATTTGTGAGGCACTTTTTAAACCAGAAATACCCATTCTTTGAAAAACAGTTTAAAAATAAATATTAAAAAAAATATTTTACAATCTAATATATGCCCAAGTAATTGGCAAAATACTAGCACTTCCCCAAGGTGCACCGCTCACAACGCCATCAAGTCTTTCTCCATTTTGTGGTATTATTGGATGTCCAGGTAGGAAAGGTGCAAGATGTGATTTACTTAAATAATTTATTTAAATTTAAGGGAAGATTTTTTGATTTGGAGGGAATCTTAGCAATATTTCGTGGATAAATTCTAAAGGTTTTAAAGACTGAAAATTTTCAAGACTCAAGGTTGACCTCAAGTAAGAGAGTTAGTCACAAAATCAGGCCCCCCAAGAAAGTCTTTGAAAAAGTTTTAAACTTAGGGTCAGTTTTTTTCTAGATTTATTAAAAAGGGCTGTACCCATTCAATACATATTTAATAATTTGGTCATATGTTTAAAATTATTAAATAAAATTTATTAAATATTTTTAAGTAAAATTTTTCCGCTAAAATAATTAATGTTTTCATTTGTCTAAATACTCATCTCTCCCCATATATCCATTTATTTTCTAAAAATAACAACATACACTCCAATTGGTCCCATTCCTGGTCCTCCACCACCATGAGGTATA